AATAATTTTCATGAAACAAAATATTTGCGGTGTGAGATAAAGCATGCAAGATAGAAGAACTATTTCAACTATGGGGTCATCTTTGTCTTCTCCAACGTCGACCTGAAACAGATACGGTGGTAACAGATTAATAACGAGTCATCAAAATTAATTATATCGAATATTCTCACCTTAATTGACTGTAGACCGTAACATTCCAAAGTTTGCATGTATGAAAAGCAACCCAAATCCAGGAGGAATTTCATAGCAGAAAATTTGTTGTTTCAGTGGAACTCCAATAAATCTCCAGTTGTTCTCACTCGTCGGTTGAAAATTAACCGCATAATGTTGCAAGGCGAAGATAAAATCAGCAAATCATGAATATAGTCCATGAAAGACCACACCCATGTAGACATCAGTTGTTTCAGTAGGACCAAACTGAATTGTAATTGTCCAGTTTGTTGGGCAATCTGCAGAAATTAACAAAAAACATATTAATTACACTAATAATTGAAGAAGGCATTAACACAACTAAAACTACGTAGCAAAAAGCAAGTAAAATATCTGAATTATAAAATGGTGACAACTGTCAATTTACATAAATGACAAATTATCATAGATGACATTAATTTAAGGTAAGGACTATAGATATTTAGTAAGGGCAAAACCACAGATGCACAACTTCTGCTGGAACAATAGATAATTGATAAAATACCATAGATCCACTTTAACCTCAACTTATGCTGTTGGCAAAAATTGTTAAGAAATACCTTAATAGAAGATTAATAGAGCAATTTAAATTATGTCATGCATTCTCACCTTAATAGACTGCAGCCAAATCCATGAAGGCTACCACGGCAGACAAATCCGTTGATTCAGTGGTTTCCAAATTAATTTCCAGTTGCTTCTCTCTCACAGGCTCGAAATTAACTGTATTGTAGGAAGACATCAAAAGCACTGGTGGTTTCAGTAGCACCAAAAGTACTTGGGAACTCCATCTCATTTATTGGGCAATCTATAGAGATGGACAAGAAAATGTAATTAATTACTAGTAAGGCAAATTAGTAAGTCAGTTATATTTTAATGTGCTGGTGTGGTGGTACAGTAAGGAAACTAACTTTCGCACTGAAGGAAAGGTGAATTTCACATTAATTCTGCTGTTCTGTTTCTGTCATTTCTGAAAAGACATTTAAAAGTTGTCTACTGAAAGTATGTTACAAATATCTAAGAAATTGAAGTTTCTGAGAACTCATTTACAATTTTTAATTGATAAGTGTTACATACCGGTTCATTGTCATAAATCGTTCCTTTAGCAACACCAAGGGGAAGAAACAGTAATTAGACTTCGCTTTTTCATATTTCGATTCCTTCTCATTTGTCTTCGTTTTCATCTATTATGCTTGTTGAAACAATATAATAATATAATATTCATATTGGAGGGATTTGTTAATGTTATTGATAATGATTATTACCATCGTTAACATCCTGTGCTTTCAGAATTTTCCGCCCAGTTCGTTAGAAGCATCGTTTGAAAAAAAAAAAAAGTCACTGCCACAACTACATCTGTAAATGAGTAATTTGTCCGTCTAATCCAAGGTTGTTATCTTATCTCCCAGGTCAAACCTACATTGTAGAAAAATAAGAAGAGCCATTAAAATTCAATGTATCAAATAACAATTTCAGTAGAAATAAAGATTTTTAAAGACAGGATATTTTTGAGTAATACTTTTTATCTATATGTATATTCAAATATATACATGATTCCTTGGAGACGTGGTTACGTTAATATGAAAAATCTACAATCATCACCTCAATCAATATTCAAAATTTAGAAAATCTAGCAAAACAATAATTATTCAACTTCAAATAACATATCCTCATATTTAAATAAAAATAAAATAATGAATTAAGACTAAATACCTTCAGGTGTCCTTTCCGAGTATGAACTTACGAACAGCAAACATGGCAATGGCTACTCTTCAAAAATCTGCAGTAGAAGATATCCCACGCCAGGGCGGAAGTGTTCCGTAGAGACATGATACAGAAGTTGATTTCTGTGATTGTCCTTTAGTTCATCAATTTTCCACTAGTAGTCATAAATTATTCATTTTGTTATTCGTCATGGAAATCATCTTGTAGTAGTAGTTTCAGATATTTAAAACAACTAAAGTCCTCGATTATATGATTATGAAACAATAATTCGAATTTTTAAAGTGAAAAACACAAAACAATTCAATTTATATTTTCAAAGCAATAGCCAGGAGCCGGAAGTAGTGCCAATTGTACAACTATAGGTATCCTATAAGCATGAACTATAATAATGTCAAAGTCATAGATAAGACATACCTATAAAGTTAGTGGATCAGTCATAGATAATAGATCAGTCAATGCAAAGTCCATCAAAACTAAATCAAAACGATGGAAAGATTTATCTTTTTTGAAGAGAATGAAATGGTGCACTTTAATTTTTGAAATAAGAAGTAATTTTATAACTATGCTCTATTTGTCGAAAATTTGTAATCTTCTTATGACAATTTACTGCATTTTTTGTGATTTAGCTGTTTCAAATAAAAGCAATTTCTACGGATTTCAAAACGTATGACGCTTATACAACCCAACATACATCAATGCACCATAATATATTCCTATATGTAAAAACTATTACGAAAATAGCTATATAGAAGCATATTTTATGAGAACAATAATTTTCATGAAACAAAATATTTGCGGTGTGATTTGCATGAAATTACCAACCTGGCAACTCCCAAGTTAGAAGATAAAATTCCAGATAACTGGGCTAAATGATCAAGGAATTGTGAGACAGATGGCGGTATTTTTAAATAAAGATCGATGCATATTTTTCATATTTTCGTATTTTTTCTCTTCAAGAATACACAAAAGTACAATTAAACCAGTTTTAATCTTTTCTTATAGAAAAAAAATCACTTTTTACGTAATATATGAAGTAAAAGAATAAATGTAGTAGACAAAATGAATTAGGTTAATATCAATTCAGGTCAAAATAAATAGTGATAAGTAACTAGCAGACAGCTTCATTTTATTAAAAAAAATATCATTAAAAAGTGAATAAAATGCCTCCTAAAGCTTATCAAACAAGAAAAATGTCCTTCTCTGCTTGCCATCGGTTACACAGGTCATTAAATAACTAAAATTTTGATAACACTTCTTAAAATTGAAATATTTTAGTATTTCTTTGACTGATGAAGAGAATATAAAGTTGTATGGGAAATGTAATCATAAAAATGGTCATGGTCATAACTATACTGGTACATAAATTATACAAGAGTTTTGTTCCAATTCAACTGCACATTCTATCAATTTGTAATGAAATCTTCTGTTGTTTACAGTTGAGGTAACTTTATATGGAGCTATCAACCCTGATACAGGTATGATTCTTAACATGACTGTCTTAAAGAAATACATGGAAATAGCTATCATGGAACCGTTAGATCATAGGAACATTGATAAGGATGTAGAGTACTTTAAAACTAAACCAAGCACAACTGAAAATGTTGCCATTTTTATTTGGGATCATCTTAAGGAGATTATGGATTGTCCTGAACTCTTACATGAAGTGAAAATACATGAAACTGAAAACAATATTGTGGCATATAGAGGAGACTAAGAAGAATACCTTAGTCTTTTATTTTTTTTACTTTTGTACATTAAACTAACTGCAGAATAAATTATGCATTTATTTTAGGGCATTTATTAGCATTTATTAATAAGTAATTCTTCATCATCATCATCACTTATTACTGTAAGTTCTTCCACAGACTTACAGTGATTTAATAAATCTATGCTTACAAGTTTCTCAGATAAAAATATTTCTTTTACATTTTTAAAAACGACACTTTCATTATTTAAATATGGAACAAACTTATCATAAAAACTTTGATAATCTTCTTTCATAATTTGTTTAATAATAGGATCAACCCTTTTTATGCGATACGTATTTTCGAACATTTGCAAGACGTTTAGTTTTTCGTTGTTCTAAAATCGAATTTTCTAATAAATATTTATAGAGATTAACATATTTATTAGAGTATCAGTCAATTACAATATTTTTAGCTTTATTAGTTACTCCTTACTGCCTTGTCTACAGACAACTATAAATTTGATATCAAAATCTTAAGAAAGGTTTATAGTTGAGATTTATTATTCCCTTTACCATTACTAATTTTTGTATATAAGGGGCTTTTCAAATTTATCATTCAAAAGATGTAAAACTATATATATATAAGCATCTACGAGTTTTCTAAGGTAAATAAAAAATAAACTTATTAATATCACTTACCAAAACTATGCTGGGATATTTTTTCAACTGTTTCAAACGACTTTTGCAGATATTTTTGTATTCCAACATTAGAGCGTTACATTTTGGTGGAGCCCTAATTGCTCTATTTATGTGAATTTCAAGAAACGCTTCTGATTCTAACGAAACGACGTTGTGTAAACAATCGACGAAAAACTTAAATATTGTTTGATTCTCGGCAGTTATGAAGGTTGTGTTCACTCCAAAAGTATTAGAAAACCTTGATGAACAGAAATAAATTAAACTAAAAAATCTACTTTGAGTAGTACGGCTATTATTACTAAATGCAAAATTGATCATTTAATAAGAAGTTTGAAAACGCTTTGATTCTTACCATATGTCATACTTCAAGTCCATTTGTTTTTCTAGCGTTGCTTGTCTTATAAGAAGTATAGCAGTTTTAAAATCAGAAATCTTTCCGCCTTTGAACATACTCAGCAAATTATCATGTACGGTTTCTAAAATGAAAATAATAACAGCGTTTTAAAACAATTTTTAAAAGGTATCTAGTGTTAATAAATAATTACTTTGTAACTGCTTTTGACTTGCTTTTGAATGTTTAGCACATGCAGCTATTACAGTAAGAAGATACTTCCAATTTATGTTATTGTCGCACTTTTTAAAAATTTCCATAACATCGTTAAAATCACAATAATCTGAAAAAACCTGAAAAAAGCTAATGGTAAAATAGTAGTATAAATAAATATTATTGAGTACGTGATTAAGAAATGGTACATAGTAGTATCAAATTTGTATACCTAATTACAAGATAAACTAAAATATTTTATTTTATTTTTTACACCAATTAGTTGGGAACAATTATTGTGATTAAATATTATGTAATTTGATAAATTTAATTTTTAGAAACCTCTTTCAGGACATTTTCCAATTTCTCTGGTGTATTTTCCATAGTCCAAAGGCATTGAAATAAAAAGGCACTATTCATATCAAATTCACCATTTTCAAAAGTAACCAGTTTTTGAAGTATACTTATACAAAAACGTTTCTTAAAATTATCTAAAAGAAGATCAAAATTAAGATAGAAAAAAAATACAAAACAATTCAAAGAACCTACATGGTAAGAGCAATGAACCAGTTATTAGAGGAAGAAAATTATTAAATTCTTGGTTTTTTTCTTTTAATATGGAAATAAAATACTTCTCAATAAAGTCATTCAAAATATTGCTACAAAAAGACGACCACAATTTACTTTTGTGAAGACGGCAGATACCAGTTCTAGGAGAATAACAACTTGAAAGAAGTTCCACAAGTATGCCCTCCAGAATTTCTTTATTTTCATTTATTGCAGCAATTTTTATTAATTTATCTATTAAATCCAGTGGCTGATAAGCATCCCTTAAATTAATCTTCTTTATTATAATAAGGAAATGAAAATATTGGGATAAATACACTTACCAGTATTGCTCAAGATAAATAATATGTTCTTTATGTAGCCACCATATGAAAATAAGTGAAATATTTGCGTCACAATTGGAGAAGAATGTTTTGGCAAAATTGATATGATTAAATTTATTTGATGTTTTTAGTCTCTTGATTATTTGAGTAACGAAGTCCAAATTTATTATTTCCTCCTCTGTTAACATCTGTAGGTCCAAATTATTTTTAAAGAAGGACTGGAATATCTTGAAAGGAGATATTTAATTGAATACAATTAAAAAATTAGACATGTTTGACTACAAAAGTTGAGACTTCCGCAAAGTTTAATTATAAAGTAATACTGTTTCTCTCAACATTGAAAGTATATTGCCATCACTATCACGTATATTACAAATAATTATCACTGACTTACAAAAAACACTACAGGTGACCCATCTATAACACTCTTGTTATTTATTATTTCTTCAATTAATGTGACTATATCTGTTTTATTAAACTTTGTTAGTAAAAGAACTAAACTATTGATATTAATATCGTTTGGGTATGATATAACAGCAGAATTGTTATAAAGATTCTGAGTAAAGCCATAGTTATAATTAACTCCATCCTCAATTTCATTATCTCCGAAAAGGTCGTCGAAACTCATTGCAATAAGAATATTATTAATCGATTGTCTGTTTAAGTTAAACACGTAAAAATACCTTAAATTAAGAAAAAAACAGTTATTAGCTGATGAAGTATGCCAGTACCAATATTTGAAAAATGATAGGTTAGAAATTGGAAAAATAAACAAACTGTCAAATTAAAGAACATCGAACCGCCAACATCATGTAGCCTATAAAAATAATTTAAATCTATACATAAAAGATATTTTTAATTCCGTTTGACTAATAATTAAAATGATCGCCACTTATTAAAATCAAGATTAGGAAGAAAAACGAAAAATTCGGAAACGAACCTAAAACGGCTAAAAATCAATAAAACTTTTAAAATTTGCGGGAAATTCAATTATGTAACTGATGAAATGACCTTTCTGTAGTGTTTTTTCGTAGTGTATTTAGGTCATTTTAAGCCATTTCCAGCAAAAAAAGTTATATTTTCGAAAAAGCCGCGATTCGGAAATTTTACCGTGTATAAATATAAAACTAAATAACAAAATATGTATACTATCTCAAAAATGAATATAAAAACATTAATTATATAACAACTATAATAATAATATTCTTGCATTTAACACAAAGATAATTTCGTATTATTTTGCGATGTAATTTGTTTAAAACAAAAGAGTTATGTTTAGCAATAATAAATGAGATAACTTTTGGCAACAACGTAAATATAAACAATACGAAGTACTATACACACAAATAATTATCAGATAATTATGCTGATATCGTTCTTGGCAGATACCGCTAGGAGTACAGCTTACGGCGGAGTCGAAGGCAAAACTGCTAATAATTCTACATAGTAGTATCTAGCTAGGTAAGGGTAAGGTAATACCTTATTATCAATATAACCTACCTGCGGTTGATAATAATCGAAATTTAATCAACCATAGCAGTGTAATCTTACATAATTAACTGTGTGCTTAAACATATGTAAATACTATAAATTGCCTTTTTATTATGGTTAAAATTGGTGGTTTCGGCAACCCTTTGCTCGATATATCTGTTAAATTAAACACTAACGATTTACTGAATAAGTACAACTTGCTGGAAGATGAACAATCCGAATTTGATAGTCAGAAGATGAAATCACTACTTAATGACATAAAAAAGTAATATACATATGTATCCTGCGTTTTATTTGCTAATTTTTGTTTTAATTAATCGGTATAATCAAATTATAAATGTTCGTGTATAGTAAGTTTCTTTGTTATTTAGGTATGACGTCACGTACAGTCCCGGCGGTAGCGCTCAAAACACTCTGAGATTGTTGCAATGGCTTATGAACAGCGAAAGTTCTACATTTATGTTTGGAGGAATTGGAAAAGATGAACAGGGGAAAAATTTAAAAAATCTGGTAGAAATTTCAGGTGTTAAAACGAAGTAAGTAATATTTCTGACGTCGAAACAACCCCTATATGTGTGGTATTGGAAGTAGGTAGCAAAGTATTCAGTAAAAAGTTACTAACTATATGTATAGCAGCTGCGGGCTACCCGGACGGGGCCAAAAAGGAGGAGCTCAATCCCCCTCAACTGCAAAAGTATAGGGGCATAGTCCCCTCCCCTCAATTTTTAATGTAAGAAATATTAATGAGAAAAAAAATTGAAAAGTACTATTAACTAGCAGAGTCCGTTTGTGAGTCATTCCCCTTTATTTTCATTAATTTTCGAGCATGTTAGAAGTAAAATGTTTTTTGCGATATGCGAAAAATATGAAAAAAAAAAGATGGCTCTGCTGTTTTTCTTTCTCTTTAGCAATAATACTCAGTAGGCTACTTCCGATAATATACACATATTCCCCTGATTTATCATCTAACCGAAATAATTTTTTAGTTATTCGCTGTTTGAAGGTAAACCGACAGGTACTTCGGTGGTATTAATTAAAGGCAGTAATCGCTCTTTGGTGGCGTATATAGGAGCTGCTGAGAGTGTAAGAATAAAAGATCTTAAAATAAATGAAACTGAAAGTATACTGGAGACTATGGACGCTATTTATATGGAAGCGTTTTTCGTTACGAAAAGGAACGATGTTGCCAAATACGTGCAAGAATTTTGCGAAGAAAAAAATAAAATTTTCGCATTCAGCTTAAGTGCGCCGTATATTATTCGAGAGAATGCGGAAGTAATCATTCATTTGGCTAGAACTTGTGACATACTGTTTGGAAATAAAAGAGAATTCGCCGCGTTAAAAGACGTAATGAAATTTGAGGGAACGTTCCAAGATCTGACGCGTCATCTTCTTAAAACTTACAACAAAAAAGCTAAAAACAAATACGGAAAAATCGTGGTAGCGACAAATGGTAGCAAATGGGTCGTATGTGGTCATAGTAATGATGTTTTGGAAAAAGCTTTCGTTCCGAAAATAGATGATACAAAAATAATAGATACCAATGGGGCTGGAGACGCATTTTCTGCCGGATTTCTCGCGGGAATTTTCACCAACAAGGAACCACGGGAAAGCATGAAAATTGGCTTTTGGACCGCTGCTCAAATTATTCAAAACGTTGGATGTTCATTACCGCAATTTCCCATTACATTGGACGATATTTTAAACACTGAAACTACATAATTAATTGTTTATTAAGATTAGCAGTCAAAGCCCTTTAATTTTAATAGAAGTATATTCATATTCTTCCTTTTAGCTTTACAACTTGTTGTATTCTAATTTTCAATATATTTGTACATAAGCAGTCCCCAAATCAAAGAACTCGTTCATATTAAAAAAACTTCCTACTGCTAAAAGTGTCTTTTAGTTTTAATTCTTGAATTTAAATGAGATAATAATTTCTTTGTATTTTTATTCGCGTAATACTTTTTTAACGTCAAGAAATTTCTCTGCTATAGACAACGGATGTTGTTTTTCCATTTTTCTAACAGGAGTATTTTTCCTGAATGAATACAGTGAATGCTAATCTTAATAATAAATATGTTATTTTTTAAACTACATAATTTTGATAGATACGTAAAAGAATTATTGTATTTCACATTCTTTTGTACTAATTAGTACTCTGGGACATAAATATATACACACACACTATATATATATATATTTAANGAGCAACGTATATTAGCGCTCGAAGTATCGGGAAAACTGGCAGATGCCGCAGCTTGTTACGAAAAAATACGACCTCCACTTAAGCCTCAACATTTACGGGGCCTTGTACAATGTTACCTCGATCTGGACAACGTAAACACGGCTCTCAACTTTGTTGAAGGTGCTTTAATCAGCCAGCCGGAATGTAGCAATGTACTGATGGAGATGCAAGCAGAACCACTGTGGAGACTTGGACACTTTGATCGACTTGACGACCTCTTACAAAAACCGCAAATTAAGAAAAACAACAATTGTTGGGGTATACGTATTGGGGATGCACTTTTCAATTTACGAAGTGGTAAGATATGTATAAAATGATTACTAATTACAGTTAAATATTTAAAACTTCTACTATCGTAGGTAATGCTGTAAAATTTAGAAAAGTGATAGACGACCTAAGGATGACTCAGATAGAAAACTTGGGTGCTGCCAGTCTTGAAGAAGGTGCCTACTCTCACGGTTACAATTATATTGCTCATTTACACGTTTTAAACGAATTAGAGCAACTTGAAAGATTAATCAAGGACTTGCTACTTCGACATAACGACACAAATGCGTTAAAAAATATTATTGAAAGAATCTCAGTTGAATGGAAACTTAGAATGAAGGTAAGAGGCATTTTTTTTAATCAATACATTACATAAAACGTCTACTTTTATTATTTGAAGATTGTTCAAGAATCTTTGAGGATTCGTGAACCAATTTTATGCATCCGAAGGGTTGCATTGGAGCAAGTGAAGCACATTGTAGCGAAAAAGGCTCCAACTAATCTACATGAGCAATTTTTTTAAAAAGCCTGTTTCACTTTTACATACAATATGTAAATATTAAGAACTAAAAGTTAATACTGGGTGCAGTTATTTGTTTTGGTGTAAGGCAAATTCACTGTTACTTGGCAATCACCTCTGCAAAAATTTTACTTTAAAGATGGAATAATTCAATTTCATAAAAACAACTTGCTTCCTGAATTATTTGCATATTAGTTATTGTTTTAATCTTTTACAGTTATTGTTACTGAGAAGACTAGCATTTTATTGAGATATTTGCACTACCATTGGGACAAAAAGGTATTAATTTTTTTTTTGGTTCATAATTCTACTATAGAACATATTTCCATATTTTTCAGAATAATGTGCAGAAAAAGAGAGACCATTCATCTACAGACAATTGTGAGGAACAAAATTCTTGTCGAAAACGCTTGAGAACAGATTGAAAAATCATTTAATAAGTTTATTTATTGATACTTTGTTTATGTATTTAATAAAATCACCATTTAATCTTATTTTTTACAGGTGTAAGCTGTATTTGTATGTTTATGTTCATTATAACTTTAATCATCGATGTGTATAACTATTTGAGTTGAATAAAATGAAATGTAATACTTAATAATTAATAATAATTGTTTTTTTGTAAATTTAAGTTTAATTTTGCCTCTTTTTACTGAACAGAAAATGGTAATATGAAGTTACTGGAAAACTTTAAAGATAACTTATTATTTAGAGCAAAAAGGACACATCCAATGTTATGAATAAAATGGGCAAATAAAATATTGGTGACTTGTAGGTACTCAAATCAAAAAATCACGACAATAATTAAATGTATTACCTACAATTTACAATTACTTAAAATAAAATTAAAAAATGCTCACATATGAAATAATGAAAGACATATCCCCTTTCATGTCATGGATCCTGCTGGTGTGCCGGGTGAGCCTACGACATCAATGATTTCTCCTGTACCTCCAGCCTTGTTCCCATCGTTATCCGTATTTCCAGATAGCAGTTGCGGAGGAATCGTTAAAGTCTTATGATAATATTAATTAATCAAAAATGACAATTTTATAACCATTTTTGGAAAAATACTTACTTTTCCTGGATTCAATGCTTCAAATTGGTGCCTCAAGGATTGCAATTCGAATTCGCAAGTACCTAATGCAGTTTTTAGTTCCATTAGTAAGACCATATCACTCCTGAGTTCATTGAAATGTTGGCACATTTCTTCTGTTGGTGTTGGATTTAACTCTGCAATCATTTTTTTAATAAGGAGTATCATAAATGCATAAGATTCTTTTACCTAAATTCATTTCTTGCAACATCTGTTCAATTCCTTTTGATTTCTTTTGACCTATGTTTGCGGGCAGTTTCATACGCTGAGATCTTAGTGAAGCACCGCTGTTTTTGTAGTCCGGAAATTTTATTCCTGCAGTTTCGACGGCCTGTAAAATATGCTGTTAGAAAAAAAGTTAATAATGCACCTAAATGCCCTTTCAGTCCTGAAAAGAAATTGAAATAAACATAAAGAATGATTCATATTTGTAAATAAATGTTCAAGTTCTCAAAAATGAATCACCCTGTATGTATGTATCGTTTTAAATTATACCGTTGTATCTACTCGTGAAGGTCTTGAAGGGTTGGGTAGTTTTTTCTTCTGAAGTTTTTTCTCTGTTTTTCGAGGAGTTTCCCCTTGACTGTCAGCTTGACTGATAAGTTTTTGAAGATCTTGAGTTTTTCTTTCCCTCTCCTTTTTCCTAGCTTCGATCTTTTTAAGTTCATTTATTAAAAATTGTTCTTCTTCCATCTGTAATTAACTAGCATATACAGACTATCAAAAAAATAAATAAATGTGCATACTTGCTCAGCTGTTCTTTCATACAATCGTTTCAACTGTTCTTTTCTTCTCCTTTCATGGTCTGCATCATAATGGTAGATCTTCTTTTCGCCATTCAGCTAACATAAATAAGTATAAATTGTATTAAAAGTTTTTATTTATATGATACTAAAACTAATTATGGATGTGTTGCAACAAAACATGTAAATAAATTAATAAAAGAAGATACTGAGGAAAAAGTATTTATTAAACCTCTTGATGAAACAGTATCCTTTACCTTTGCAATAATACCACAAATTTTGTAATATCTTTCTTTTAGGTCTTCAACAGTTCTCTTAGGAAACTTTTCAGTATCATATCGGTCCACCATCACAATAAACCTCAAATCAAATCTTCTAGCTAAATCCATTAAATGGTCTGTTTCTTCTTTTGTCCAACCTTCTGTTTGTAAATGTTGCTGATAAATAGAATCTGTGTAGGAAGGTATATCAATTTTCTAAAATAATGTAAAACAGAATTGCTAAATCATTATCTTATTTGAAAGCTGCACTTCTTACTTTATTAAATTTTGCAAAAGGATATTCCTTTGGTTCATCTGATGGTCTACGCCAATGATGAAATACTGCGCCATCAGTTCTGGCAGGATTAGTAAATGGCATCCATTCCCATTTGCGAGGTTTACGCATTCCAAGTTTTACCTTTGTTTGCTTGTATCCATTACCTAAGAGGTTTGGTTAAAAAATTGGTAACACATAAAAATAAAAGTACTTACTTGTATCTGAAGGAAATATAGGAGGTGCATCCTTATTATCATTGTAGAGAAGAGCAAAAACTTCTCTGTGCATCCCTTCAGGTCTTTTAGAAATTTTGGTAGAATTAAAAGGCCTCTTTTTCTGTTTCTCACTTATGAAAGATTCTCTGGTAATCTCTGGAGCTGGTGGTTGCTCCAGCTCCATAATATCCCTTACATCTGCCATTATATTTGTATCAATTAACTTCCTCGCAACTGAAACTAAAATATCTTTAGTTAAATATGCATAATTATTAACTACACATTAAAATAACCATTTTATATTTGTGTTTATACAAAAACACTAACCTCACTTTGAGCATTTGATTCGTTAATTCAATTGTTAAAAAATATATAGTGAAGCAGTACAGACACACTAACAAGATTTTTAATCACTAGTGTTTGCTAGTTACTTTCATTTTTATTTTGTATCTACACCCGCCAATGTCAAATTTTAAAATATATAACCATAACATAACCTTATAGAACAGAAGGTGCTTTTCACAAGTTTTTAATAATGTTGGTTTAAAATAAAATTATAAAAATTACGAAGAATGGACTACTAATGTGGTGGTTGAATTTTACAACTAGAAGGATACATTAGAACATTCATAAAATGGACATGGAAGCAATAATACCTGCCTTTTCAATGTGGAAAGCCCTTAATGAAACAATACCTGCTTTATTAAATTTAGAGTACTGTGAAAGTAATTATAAGAAGCTGGAAAGTATTGTTATGTCTAAGGAGTTCTTAAATTTATTTGTTTTTAACCATGACAGTAACTTAACGATCCATGAGAATAAAAGCATAATAACAAAGTATAAAGCCTTTACAATGTGGCTTCTTGGAAGATTTGTTCATATATTGAGTTGTGATAAAACTATGTATATAATATTCATTTAGTTCAATTATCAGATGATGCATATATTCTTTTCAGGACCCACAATTTAATAGTAGAAGCACAACTGAAAATTTTACAGCATTTATCAGTTACTGAGAGAAGTGTATGTCAAGAAATTGGTGCTATTTATGTAGAAATGTTGTGTCAGTTAAACAATTTTCATAAAAATAATGAACAGAATACTACCGATGAATTATTGTTAGACTTGTTTAACATTGAAAATAATGATAGTATAATAACTCAGTTGGATTTAAGTTCAGTACAGATAGTAATAAAAAGTATTGAATCCTGTACCATGATGCAGCAAAATATTTTAAAAATTGTGTCCTGGTATACCATGGAAAGATTGGAGCATTCTGTGTTTAACAACATATTCTATAAAGCTTTGAGTTCTCAATTGTATGTTTTGACAAATTGCAATTTTACATTGAAAATAACTGTTTTAAAATCGTTTGTACAATTAGTACGTTTCTATACAACTGATAATGTAGACAACAAATTTATAAAATATATGAATGAGTTTACAGCATGCATGGAACAAATAGTTTATAAAGTTTATGTCAAAAGTACTGCTGTTAATTCTGAACAGCAAAAAATCTTTGAAGAATTACTGTTACAATTTATAAATAATACCAAAAACGTCGCATGTAACTTAAATAAAAACAAAATACTGGAATTTATTACTAAAGAAATAATTAAGGGTAATCCCTTAAAATTATCGAAACATTTGAAATTAGAAGGTGTAAAAAATTTTGCAAGAATAAGTAATGTTGATCTTATTGATGAATGTATTAACAGTGTTCTAAACAAACGCGAATTTAGTTTACTGTGTATCATAGAAAACTATATTGTTAATTATTTAAGACAATATATCAAAGAACATGATAAAATAAAAATAATTAAACTTTCTAATATTCAAAATCCTGTTTTTGATAAAATAAAAGATTACATATTTAATTTCGAATGTAAATGTGATAGGTGCAACGTAGAAGATATGCTACTATTTTTGGATCAAATTACAAATATCACGGAAAAAATTAAGTTCAAATTACTATCAGAGAAAGCTAACAGAGATATACTTTTTTATTTCTTTGAAGAGGAAGAACTTTTGAATTTTTTCTTTAATTTGTCTAGTTCACATGTCGAAAATTGTAACAGTAATAGTATTGATAGAGAATTATTTTTTCGCGTTTTGATAAGAAGTCTTACTTTTTATCCTGTATCAAATGTAGATGTCATATTCCATGCAGTTGCATACCCGTTCTTAAAATCGCGCAAAGAAACTTCATACACATTAAAAAATTATACCCAAGATGGAAAATATAACACTAAACAAATAAAAATATCTCTCGAATTTATGTCTACTTTTGGACTGTCCCGAGAAAGTGTTGTTGTATATTTATTCTTCTTTCTTAAAACTTTGAATAACGTTACAATTCAATGTTTTCATGGGGAGAGAAAATGTGAAAATAACAATTGTCTCAGGAATAAAAACATGGAAGAAGTTTATTACAGTGTCTGTGTGTCAGCAGTAAAGAGCAAAAATAAGGACATTATCCTGCAGGTAAAAAAATTATAGATGCTTAATGAGTATTATATAGGGTGTTGAAATAATATCGCATGCATCCCTTTCTTGTTACAGATAATAAAACATCTAAAATATATTTTCGTTATGTTTAATAATGTTGACAGAACATGGATGGACGTTTATGTGCCTATTTTGGGTATAACTCAAGAAGATGTAGTTTTTCAAGTTTTAAACGAGATCGATAATATATTGGCATTATTTTATGATAATTTATTGGTCTACTATTTTGATGAAAATGATATGAATATGAACATTTATTCACAGGAAAATAATAATGCCAAGTTCAAAATATGTATTTCTTATTTAGAAAATAACGAAACGATAAGAAGAACACGAAAAACGATTATCAATACAGATTTTATTCAATCAGTGATTCAAAAAATACAAAATATACTGATCTCCACGAAAAATCCCGAATTGAAATTGATGATTGTACAAAAATTATCTTCCCTAATAAACTTTCCGGGAATGCCTGGCCATTATCTACAAATATTCAAAGTTTTTATTTGCGATCCGGATAAAGAAGTTAGAAAAGCATTAGCGAAAGAACTTTATTTCGTGTTAAGTAATATGGTAGTGTTTTAAGGCTTATAGCGATATAGTTTATTAATCGTCGTCTATTTTAGATACAAAAAGAAATGGAAGAATCATTCATAGACAATTTATTTAAAATACTGAAAAGTGCAGTGAAAAAGTCTCTCCAAACTTCTGATGCTGACCTACAGCAATCTACTTTACAGACACTCGAATCGGCAACCGTTTTAATTCAAAGAGAGGCAGTTTTACATGTTGTTTTAATTCTCTTATTTTTTATTATGGTACCAACGTCAAAATTTCAGCTGGATGCTATTCATGTTTTTATCGAAATAGCTAAAAAGGAGAATATTTCAACAAACGCTCTGTATTCATGTTATAAAAGAGAAATTTGTGAAAAAATTGTTCAGATCAGCGCCATAAATTATGAGTTGATCGGCTGGCAATTTTCGACCTCGTTAGAAAAATTATCCCTTACATTAGGATTTTTCGGTTCTAACGATTTCCTTATTCAGGAATGTCGTTATTTGGTCCCTTATATAGTCCCACTGCTCGTAAAAATGCCGAATGTTAAAGTACTTTTAAACGAAATTGCTACAGCTAACAATGTTGGTGTTCCTGATCTTCTAGCATCAAAATATGGAAATATCTTTTTGAACATATTTTTAAATGAACCCAGAGATATATGCAAACAGTGTCTTAATCTTATCGAAAAATTAACTGGAACCAGTGGAAGTTTGTTAAGGAAAAGGAACTTTCAGGTAATTCATTTTCATACAATATAAATTATAGTTAGTCATACATCTACATATTTGCAATTTTAGGTCATTTTAAACGAACTACTTTTACACTTTAACGCAAAAAAAGATTCTGTATTAACAGTTTTAAAGCTATTGGCTGAAGAAGAGTCCAGTAGCCAAAAAATCGATATAAAAACGCTGCCAGATTATTTACAGCCACGTCTACTGGGAGTTCTAGCCTATTTCGATATCAAGCTTATTTCTAAAAATTCCTCTAAAGATAAAGTACTGTTAAGTCTCGCAACGCTTCTTAAATTCATGGGACCAAAGCATGTAACTCCTGTTAGGTTTAAAATAATAGCAATGCTAAGAACCGCGCTGAACCTGAACCATGGTAAATTTCCAGAAATCAACTGCAAAATTTGGGAAGTATTTGTAAAAAGTTGTGAGATTGACGCCCTAGGGCCTCAAATTGCTCTAGTATTCATCTCCTTGTTACCGCTACATACTCATTTTCCCAAAAAGACCGAAGAAATATTCAAATACTTAATAATTGAAAATGAAAACGTTGTAAAAGATTTCATTCCGGACCTGTTTTTTGTCTTGGAGAATAACGTGTCTGATGAAATATGCTTCGTTATTAGAAAGCATTTACAACAGCTCGAAAACGATTCCTTTAAGGAACATCTGAAGTGGTTCCTGAAATATCTTAATCACGAAAGCACCGATATAAAAGTGCACGCTTTGAAATACTTGAAAAGACTTCTGGAGAAAAACAGAGAGGAACTGGACAGGATGATTTTGGGCTATAATGGAATCGATGCTGTTATCGTAGAATTCCTTGATATTTTAGTTATAGGTTGTAAGGATACAGATGAAGATTTGAAGATGGGTTGTGGTCTATGTATTGGCGAACTAGGAGCAATCGAACCCAGCCATTTACCTAGAATGTGAGATTATACTTACCTGAAAAGGGGATTAAAAAACGTTGATGTCTTTTTTGTAGATGTGCACAAAAATCTCAAACCTTTACTTTCTCAATTACCGAAGATTCTTTTATTGTTGACGCATTAAATGAATTAATTAGAGCCTTACAGGCAGAGAAAAATACTCAGGTAAAAATTCCTGTGTGTTTGTTTTTCTATTTTGTAACTAGATAATTATAATTACAGAATATGGACAGGTTTGCGCTCGCTGTTCAAGAAATCCTAAAGATGTTCGGCATTTCTCCGGAACCGAACAGTACTAGACACAGGCTGTGGAATCAATTCCCTGAAAGTCAGCGTGAGTTGATGTTACCTTTGTTGTCGTCACGTTATACAATGGCTCAAACATTCCAAGTTCCCGAAATTTCTCCCATATTCGGTTCCAGCCTTGTTACATCTTTCCAGTCTTGGATTCACAACTGGACGTGCGTGCTAATTTCTGCCGTTAAACCCGATAAACGATCACTACTTGAAGTCTGCCTCCCAAGTCTAAAGCAAGATAATAGAACCCTGATGCTTTTTTTACCCTACATCCTGCTCCATGCACTTCTCGAAGGTGACAAACGATTTCACCAGAAAGTTTACGAAGAACTTATGGTACTGCTTAATTCGTACAATAACAAACGAACTTTAGACGTGGAAGTATTAGATGTTAGGCCCTTGAGGAATGCGTACTCAATGCCTAAACCTCAGTCAGTGACTAGCGAGGAAGAAACGCAACATCAATGTGTAAAGGTGGTTTTCGTCCTGTTCGATTTTTTGGATAGATGGTTACGCGAATGGGAATGGTCAAAGGGTTTAGCAGGTCGCGAACATGAAAACTACAGATGCCTAATGACCTTTGTATCCCGTTTTTGTAAGCTCCAGATTTCTCGATGTAACTACGAATGTAGAGAATACGCCAGAGCTCTTCTTTATATTGAGGAATACATTGTGGATGACCCAGATCGTTTGGCTGGAGAGTTGGGTTTCTTGGCCGAACTTTACGCTAAATTGGATGAACCAGATGGTGTTGCCGGTGTTATGGCACTACAAACTTCGGAGCCAAGTATCGAGCAACGTATATTAGCGCTCGAAGTATCGGGAAAACTGGCAGATGCCGCAGCTTGTTACGAAAAAATACGACCTCCACTTAAGCCTCAACATTTACGGGGCCTTGTACAATGTTACCTCGATCTGGACAACGTAAACACGGCTCTCAACTTTGTTGAAGGTGCTTTAATCAGCCAGCCGGAATGTAGCAATGTACTGATGGAGATGCAAGCAGAACCACTGTGGAGACTTGGACACTTTGATCGACTTGACGACCTCTTACAAAAACCGCAAATTAAGAAAAACAACAATTGTTGGGGTATACGTATTGGGGATGCACTTTTCAATTTACGAAGTGGTAAGATATGTATAAAATGATTACTAATTACAGTCAAATATTTAAAACTTCTACTATCGTAGGTAATGCTGTAAAATTTAGAAAAGTGATAGACGACCTAAGGATGACTCAGATAGAAAACTTGGGTGCTGCCAGTCTTGAAGAAGGTGCCTACTCTCACGGTTACAATTATATTGCTCATTTACACGTTTTAAACGAATTAGAGCAACTTGAAAGATTAATCAAGGACTTGCTACTTCGACATAACGACACAAATGCGTTAAAAAATATTATTGAAAGAATCTCAGTTGAATGGAAACTTAGAATGAAGGTAAGAGGCATTTTTTTTTTTTTAATCAATACATACAACGTCTACTTTTATTATTTGAAGATTGTTCAAGAATCTTTGAGGATTCGTGAACCAATTTTATGCATCCGAAGGGTTGCATTGGAGCAAGTGAAGCACATTGTAGCGAAAAAGGCTCCAACTGCTTGCCAGTTTTTGGACTCATTACTTGGAGAACTTTGGCTATTCAGCGCCAAAGCAGCTAGAGCATCGGGGGCGCACCAACAAGCTTACACGTACACACTAAAAGCTGAAGATTATGATCCACCAAAGCTCTTTATCGAAAAAGCTAAACTACATTGGCTACGAGAAGAACACGAATTGGCTTTAACTACACTCAGAAGGGGAGTTGAAGAAATCGGTCAAAAAGGTTGTTTTAGGGAAATGGAAAATTCTGGAGGAAGTGGTCATTTAACCCTTGAACAAAAGTAATTCAAGTACACATCATTAAATTAAATATATCACTCTAATTTTATTTATTTAAGAAAACTGTGCGCTAAAGCAAAACTACTTATTGCAACGTATAATGATTTGTTATCCAATGTGGACCAGGAAGTAAACAAGCAGCACTACAAAGAAGCTATCGATGTATATTTAGAGTGGGAGAAAAGTTTGGTAAATACTAAATTTGGTTTGTTTAATGACTACTTACTATTAGTCGTTCTGTTTTGTCGTTTTAGGTACATTTGGCGCAGTATTACGACAAAATATATCAGTCGATGAAGGAGAGCGATTTAAACACGAACGGCGGAGACATCCAAATACTGATGATTAATTATTTTGGAAAATCTTTACAATATGGTAACGAATATGTTTATCAGTCTATGCCACGACTTTTAAGCATTTGGTTCGATTATGGAAGCAAGACTTTTAATACGCAAGATAATTTCAGAGATAAGAGAAAAGAAAATCTACTGAAAATGACTAAATTGATCGACACTTATTTGGAACGACTTCCCGCTTACATATTTTTAACAGCATTCTCGCAAATAGTTTCCAGGATTTGTCATCCACAGAGAGAGGTTTATTTTGAAGTAAAAGAAATCATATTAAAATTGCTGCTACATTATCCTCAACAATGTTTATGGATGATAATTTCCGTTATCAAGTCCAGTTATTCCATGAGGTCGAAACGTTGCAACGAAATACTGAACGACAGTCGCCTAAGAACGCCAAGTTTATCGCGACTTATAAACGATTTTACGAAATTGGCAGAAAAACTTATTGATTTGTGTAATAAAGAAATCCCCGAAGACGTTAACACAACAACCGTTAGTCAACTGGTCAGAGCCCTCCCACGGTACCATATTTGTTTAAAATAAACTTTATGTTACTCTAAAACATTTATCTTTCAGATTAATAGTGAGAGAAGACTTCAGCGAAATAATGATACCCACTCAAAAACACCGGAAGTTGATACTACCAAACCCAGATTTCAAATGCAGTACTCAACACAACCCTTTTCCGAACTACTATGTTCACATCACGGGTATAGAGGACGAAGTCACTGTTTTAGGAAGTTTACAACGACCGAGAAAGATAACATTTAAGGGCTCCGACGGCAAAAGGTTCAATTTTTGTTTTATGGTGCAAATATAATCTTAAATTATTTGTCTTTATAGGTACGTTCAAATGCTTAAACCGAAGGACGATCTTCGCAAAGATTTCCGTCTGATGGAATTTAACGACATAGTTAATCAACTGTTATCACGTGACGCAGACTCAAGACAGCGACGTTTAAACATACGACTGTATTCAGTTGCCCCCCTGAACGAAGAGTGCGGTCTTATCGAATGGATCCCCGATTTGGTGGGGTTGCGACCGGTATTGATGAAAATATATAAACAGAAAGGTATACAAATATTGCACACACACTGCTTTTCGTCGCCTTTTTGATTACAATACATTTGTTTCGTGTTGAATTTTTAAACATTTGTATAAAATTAGTTATTTTATCCCTTTAGGAACCGCCATGAAAGCAAGGGAGCTGAAACAAGTTTACTGTCACCAAAGGGATCCACTTGTAAAAAAGAAAGAGGTTTTTCTCAAGGTGCTTCTGCCCAACCATCCCCCAGTATTGGGCGAATGGTTCAGAAAAACCTTTCCAGATGCTCAGGTACAAAATATAACATTTATTATTTCATAAATTTCTAACCATGTGTATTACTTGAAGAGTTGGTTAACCGCGAGGACAGCTTACATTCGAACAACGGCCGTAATGTCCATGGTAGGATACATAGTGGGATTGGGTGATAGACACGGTGAAAATATCCTTCTGGATTCCACTTGTGGTGACGCAGTCCATGTCGATTTTAATTGTCTTTTCAATAAAGGTATTTACACCATTTTTCGTCTCAATTTTGTGATTGATTTTAAGGTCTCATTTAGGCGAGTCTTTGGAATGGCCTGAACGCGTGCCTTTCCGTTTGACTCATAATATGATTTCGGCAATGGGACCATTGGGTGTTGAGGGCATGTTCCGAAGGTCGTGCGCATGTACGCTGCGTGTTTTACGCTCTAATATTAACACCCTGATGTCGATAGTGACTCCGTTTGTGTACGATCCTCTCGTTTCTTGGCCAAAGACTATAACAGCAAATGCTGTCACACACAATTCAGAAAGGACCAACGAACAGGTAAGAACAACCAAATTATAACAGGAACAGGAGGATATATTTGGATTTAACTATTGATTATATTTGATAGGAATTGTTTGTTAATGTGAAGGTGTAAACTCTTTTCAGGCTAGAGATCATATTAAAAATATGGAATTAAGATTACAAGGAGCCGTTAAAACCAAATCTCGTTCGACTTCGATGTTGTTTTCCGTGGAAGGACAAACGAACATTTTAATATCAGAAGCAATGAATGTTGACAATTTGTGCCAAATGTTTATCGGTTGGGGCGCATATTTGTGATTCTAGTTTAAACAGTGTATTTGTATTTTGTTCTATATTTGTTATAATTGAATTTAATATTTTTCCTATACATTATTAGATACTGTTTCTCATTCTTATATTAAAAATAAATTATTTTTCATAACCGTTTTCGTTTCGCTGACTTTTTTGAAGTAATACCAATTCAAAAGGTACGTGACATGCTTTTTTTGGTAATGCAGAATAAACATTTAATAATAAGCTACCTGTACATGCGACCTACAAAAACACTAGTTTTTCCTGAAAAAAAGTATATTACGCACCAAGGAAACGAATGTACAGTATTTCCTCCAGGGGGTGAATACATTAATCCCCGGGAGGGAGCGCCTTATATTCCCCCAAAGCTCGTATACAATAATTTAATTTATCCCTGCTTCGAAAATAGGATTTTTCCCGATTTCAGGGACGAGAAAGTATAACATAATCTCCATTTACTATTTACGAAAATGAGTAGAAACCCACGAATCAGAAAAAACGAATTGTGTGCTGGGACACACAGTCGAAGTGAAACAACAACGGAAAGTGGAAAAACGAATGGCAACGGACAAGTGGAAAAACGAATCGCAACAAAATTTTTACTTCAAGTTTTACGGGCAGGTTTTCAAATTGGACAAGTACATTAACAATCTGCCCGTAAAAATTTTGTTGCGGTTCGTTTTTCCATTTGTCTGATGAAGTTTCACTAGTACTATGTGTCCCAGCACACATTTTATTTTCACAGGTTTACTGCAAATTATGATTTGGCTTTTACACAGACAGCAAATAGAGGCAATGATGCCCAGCCACGTGGAGAGCAGAGGCATGAAAGGAACAGCTGAACACAGCACACGCCGCCGGGACTCTAGCGGGCTCCCCGCTCTCCGCGCGGCTCTAATACACCCGTTACCCTCTCTCCGCCGCCGCTAGCCTTTTTCTCAGCACGCGATATACTGTCTAACCCCTCCACGCGGCTGTAACGCTTTTTCGTGACAGAAAAAATCGTAATACTCCACGTCTATATAGAAGTTTCATTTCAAAAATTATACTTTCGGGGCAAGGGTATGGTAAAATCATATACGAGCTTTGGGAAGGAGTTATCGCACCAGAGTTTGGTGCCCTCGCCCTCTGGTCGGGTGATAATTCACACCCTTGGCGCGTAATATACTATTTCTTAAGTATCGTAAGTCGGTAGGTGCGTGCAGTGATGTGATGTTCGTGCAACTATTTTTTAATGCGTCCTGGTATACCGCTTCAGCTTTCCTTATGTATCGACGCCAGGTAAGTACGTCCAAGAGCACTCGCGGGCAGATTAGCAATGCAGGTTGAGGTACAGGTACATGTAGTAAGGTGTACCAATGCACACACGCACACGTAGATACGCTAATACTACCAACAAGGAATTCCATTTGCCAGTGTCAGTCTAGAAACGATCGCGGACATTTGCGCAAGTCCCGCTTATAAAGTGAAGACCATTGCAGGCAAACATACTTAATGTTTACAGACATACGTACGTGTTTTTAGTGCGAATATTTGTGATTGTGCACTTCTGAAAATTTTCTGTTTTCGCCAAAGGAAATTATGAAGTGACAAGACTCTATTGTTTTTCCCGACCGCTTGTTTATAACGCGTTCGTTGATTAAAAATCCGGCTCGTAATTTAAGTACATTTATGATTTCCAAATTCGATTTTTTCTAAATAAATAAACTTTTGTTATGTGTACGGTGCAGGAGTGTGGAATGCGAAAATAACACAAGTAAGTAAATTAGAATACATGTACATATATAATGTATACAGATAATTATTCGCATTATTATTACTGTCGTCGGTAATTCTTAATGATACTAAGGTCAACTGTGTATTACTTATATGTATGTATGTTATTTACCGATATTTATGTGCATTTTGTATTTTTAATATCTGTTTATTAAATGTACGTGTAGGTAAAGCAGGCACTAAAACGTTCGAGTGATTACGAATGAAAGTTATAAATAAAAATTACCGCTGGCTCTGTTAAAGAGGAGAGACTTCAACGATAGGTAAAGAAGTGAACCTCCTTTTGGGCATATTTGCAGAAACGTCGGACACGTGTTTTATGTACTTACATATGTATCGAACATACCGTAACGTCAGACAACTTTTATTCAGTTTTGTTGTTTAAATGTTGCTCGATGAGTGTACCTGATTTATAGCTTTTTATGTTGAATAATTTAGAACGACGAATGAAATTCTACCACACAATAATAGTTATATTCATTATCATAATAAATGGCCTCCTGGAACACATCTAAATAAACGGATTTTTTTATTACTGGGAAGTAATTTCCAAAGATAATAGCCAGAAAGCCCGAAAACTAAAACGTAGCGCACATTAAATACCGGCCGTGAAGGCCTACACAAACTTTTGCTTTCATTTAATTGATACCCCAAGTCAAAGGATTTGTGCAGAAAAAATAACTCTCCATTTTAAGGCACCCCTTTGTTTATAAGCCTCGCCTTTTTCTTAACGTAAAAGTTATTCATGAAGAATAGTCTAAAAATATTACTGCGGAAGTTGCATTAATCCACTTGTGAAAAAAGGTATTATTTACGTACTTCACACCACGTCTATAATTAGATTAATTAACATTAGCTTTTCACTCCTAACCATTTCAATTATCTACTTATTATATGTATTGTTAGGTATAACAATTGAAACACATAAATGGAAAACTTGTGGTGTTAAACGGATAACAAGGAGAAAAAGGTAATCACTACCATAATTTTTCTTCCTAGTTTCTGTAGCTCGTAATTAAAATTACATAGATACTATTTTCAAAATGGACAAACAGACAACTGAAAGTAAAAAACGGTCAGGTAGACACAGTGATCCTATAAGGGTTTCGTTTTTCATTCTAACGTACGAAACCCTAACCCGAGAACCAATTTTACATTTTATTTGAAAAAAAAACATGTCCCATACATTCAAACTGCAAATGTAAATTTTATACGCACAATATTGTTTTTTTGAAAGATTTCCTACGTTATATTCAGACCATAGACTTCTTATTAATTTTCCTGTAATCTATAAATAAAGAACTATTTTCTGTACATTTTTCAAAATATTAAGTTCAGTAGTTTCGGAGATAAGGGAGAAGGGTATGGTCAGTTTTCATATATTTTTATAAATAACTTTAAAACTAATTATTTTAAATATTTATTTGAAGTTCTTACTACAACCCCTTTGATTTGATATGTCACACGGTACAGATTGCAAACTTTTTTTTTAAATTTTCTATTGGTCTCCCCAAAAATGACCCCCATGTTCAAAATTAATTTATTTACGTTATGCGTCCGTGTTTGGGTCACAGAAATTCATATGCGAACTAAATTTCAACTTAATCGGTCCAGTAGATTCGAAGCAAATTGACCGTGACAGACGGACAGACAGACACACGAGTGATCCTATAGGGGTTCCGTTTTTCAAGGTAAATTGTTTTTGACAGAGACGTATCGCAAGTACGACGAATACGCGAGTTATGCATTGCCTTTCACTACTAATTAATTAATTAATGTTCGCTAATTGGAAGAGTGGCTGGGTACGCACCCCTAAGTTTCTACCCTAAGCCAATTTTTGTATTTGCACATCCTTAACTATTTGTGAATATTAATCTAATCTGGGTCTTCCTCTACCTCTCTTTACTCCTGTTTATGTTTCTAATGACTAGCCCTTTATGTATCTAAAGTTTTCCTTTTTCTTATTGATTCTACCCTTTTTATTTACTCTATCATCAACGTCCGTCTATAACAGCACATCAAACACTTTTAACTTTTTCTCTCTTCCGCAGCGCTCACCGTCCACGTAAAGAACCATAATAATATTAATGTAGATATTATGAATTGACCATTGAACTAGTCAAGTGGGAAGGCTCACACTTTATTTTTCGTTAAATAAAAATAAGTGAATACCTTGTTTTATTGAAATAGTGATGACGCCACAGCGATTGAAAAAGAGACTTATAAGTAGATTTAAATTAAGTAAGCAAGTTCGTTTCTTAACGCATCGTTGAAATCTCCAAAATTATGGCCCAATAAAAACAAGAAATTGACCTCAGTTTGTTATTGTAGTAGAGAGGTAATTTTCATTTTTAGAGTTTTCCGTGACCCAACCGTTTTTACACCAATACTAACACCCACATTGTCATAAAATTTATTTATTAAAACATGCAACTCGCTTCTAGCAAGCACTTATTGTTAGAAGACAACAAACAGCATAAAAATTTCTTTTCTTCAATCGAGTAAAACCAATTATAAAATACGAATGTTAAAAAATTTTGTTACTACAACCGACATAAAATAACTGAAACACGTAGCAAGAAATAATAACAGAAATACGTTCGTTTAAAAATATTGTTATTATATTCCATTTGTGGAGAGCCAATAGGGAATTACACAGAAAAAAGTTTTGCAAACAGTACCGTCTGACATATAAAATGAAAGGGCTTGCTGTAATGGTTTTAAATATACATTTTTTTATAATTTTAAAATAAATAGTTTTAAAGTTATTTAAAGATATAGATGAAAATTGGCTATCCCCCCCTTTTATCTCCGAAAGTACTGAATCTAAAGTTTTGAAAAAAAATACAGAAAATAGTTCTTTACTTATAGATTACAGGAAAATTAATAAGAAGTCGATAGTCTGAACATAACGTGGTAAATTTTTCGAAAAAACAATATGGATGATGAAGGTATGGGTAAACATGTTCTTTTTCAACTACAATGTTGTTAGTTTTCAGGTTAGAGTTCCGTGCGTCCGAATGAAA